ACTTGAAGAGGCCAAAAGTTAATTAACGAATAAAATTTCAGATGGAGACATTAGGAGAATAAAGTTATAAGTAAACTCTAGAAGAGATCGGAAACCCAAACAGGAAATAAAGGGTGACCTTGTGTTTGTGAACCGGACGATCAAACACGTGTATTCACTAGAAATAATAAGGTTTGTAGAAAAAAGAAGTAATGTTGGGATAGAAAATCAATTAATATATATATATATATATATATATATATATATATATTTGGTTGGACTGATGTGAGTTTGTGACCCTGGGTTTCACGCTTTTGCGATCGTCAGACAAACTGATTAATTTTTTAAAATTTTGGGTTTATGTATGTTCCGTGTATTGGTGTTATTATGGAAGTGCGGGGGGAGGGAAATCGTCGTCGTGATGTCACTCATGCTAACGCAAACATACATGCATGCTCTTACACCCATTGACGTACTTAGACACACATACACACGCTACACACACACACTTTTCATACACACATACACACACACTCGAGCACACACACATATATACATATATACTAGTACGCGGGGGATTGCAGGGAGTGAAAGTGAGAGAAAATACTGACTAAAGAAGATAGATGGCGATTGACGTTGCATTTTAAATTTTTGAAGATTGTAGTTATCAGTAAATGAAAGCCACAAGCGGGATGTGCGAGAAAAGAAACTGTTGGGGTAGAAGTGACGGTTTCATTTAAATATTTCAACAGTAAAAGGGTGGAACCTTGATATCAATCTAGTAGCACGGGGTATCAGGGAACAAAAGATCGTCAGAGCAGTTGCCATGAAAATATTTGTAGAAAAGAGAGGAAGGCAACGCCATATATATATATATATATATATATATATATATATATATATATATATATATATATATATATATATATATATATATATGTGTGTGTTGTGCATTATTTTAATATGTTGCTATTTGTTATTGCTATAAACGTTATTTAACTGAGTACATGTGTGTAAGCATCATTTTTTTAAGGGTGTAATTGATGTCAACCAGTTTATTAGACCTAATAAAGAAAATGTGGAAAAACAAAAAACAAAACTTGCTGGTCAGGAAGATAACCTTTTTGAGATAAGCCGTCTTTTCAATGACAGTACTCGATATTAAGAAAGTAGAGCATTAATATTAATAAATAAGGTAAATTAAATTTGGTCTCTTATGGATGTTTAGTCTGAGTTTCGCACATTTACTATTCATGCGACTTGATGGTAAATTTAATTTATGATATTATGTATATATATATATATATATATATATATATATATATATATTTCTTTATATATATATATATATATATATATATATATATATATATATATATATATATATATATATACTTGGTGTGAGAAAGAGAAAGTGAAAGACATTTAAAGAGCTAAGAAAGAAAATCAATAAAGTATTGATAGAGAAATCAAAGAAAAAAGATTAAATCATGATGCTCGTGAATATTGAAGAGGAAGTGAAACAGTGTGAGAGATAATAATAAAAGAAAGAACACATACATATAGCATTCGGAGTGAAAGAGAAATTGTTAGAGAGAGAGAGAGAGAGAGAGAGAGAGAGAAATAATATAGGGAGATTTTGAATTGCAGCTCAACGCTGCCTGTATCAAGAGACTGAGTAGGGAGTTAACAGGAAGAATGAAACAAGAACAGAAAAGCGAAAAACGCAAAGAAAAAATGAAATAAAGAAAAGAAAGAAAAGAAAGCAGAGACTACATTACAAAAAGAATGAATGTTAATCATGGTGGTTGGTTATGGAGGTGGTGGCAGCAGCAGTACGTCTTAAACGTACGGAGCTGATGAATTAGCATCAGGCATCAATTCAAACCGTATGCTTCCTTCACTGTTCTCCTTTCAATTCACCTTGCTCTCCTCTCGTCTCCTTATTCCGTCCTGGCTCATTCTTCCCCTGGTCATATTCCTGCTCCACCTACTCGAAACGGACTGTCTGTGACACCCTACTTTGCCGGCAAACGAGCAGCCGACATTGTTTTTTCACTTTTGGGTCTACCCCCTTTTTTTTTTAAAGATAGAGAGGCGGTAGAAAATAGGGAGGGTAGAAAGTATTGGGCTGTTTGAGATTCATCTTCTGCGAGCCCCCATTACGGGGTGGGGGCAGATTTCTCGTTTACTCAATCAAAGGCTTTAAACGGCAATAACTTTAATTGGGATAATTTGCTGGTCACCTCCTTCCGGCCCAAACAGAGCATCCGGGATCTACATTAGTCGTCGGTGACCAGTAATGGCTGGTCAGCTGTTACGTTCACATGGTAAATCGGATCACAACTTCCTAACTCATTGACAAAGATCCTCATATTCTGGCAATTTTCCCAACCTTATTACAATTGAGGTTTCTTGCGAACACGAAGCTTATTTTCGGGGAATAAAAAGAAACAGATATTGTCCTTGTGGCTTCGTTTTATGAGATGCAGCCCCGTCAGTATTCATGAATTTATACAGGCTAATATTCTCGCCCTTTCTTCTTTCTTGTCTTTTCCTCGAATATTTCACGTCAGAAAGTAGAGATCTTTTTTTCTTTAGATTTTACAAACTTGAACTTTGATTAATCAGCATATTTCCTTTTGAAATTAGTTTCAATTATCAAATGTGGGTTAATAGAAGAGATGTATTTGATTTCATGCTTTTCAATCAAACCGTTTAGCCTTTGCTATTCAGAATAAGAGAAAGAAAAGTGGCTTTTATATTTCATTAAGCATAAAGTTATTTTATAAATCCTTAATTATTATTACTGGAATGATAAAGAAAATGAACATAATTGCATATCATTTAGATAACTCGAACAGTCACTGTAAGCTCATATATATATATATATATATATATATATATATATATATATATATATATATATATATATATATATATACACACACGACAGTTCAAAGTTTGAAGTCATCCCCAGAATTAGCATGGGATGAACTTAGCAGAAAAGTGAAAAAAGAAATAGAATGGAATGGTCAAACATACTTTGAGAAAAGTGTTTTTTTTCTTTTTGTCATAATAAAATTTCAAATAAAAAAAAATAATGTCTTATTTTTTAAGCTTGTAAAATAATTTTCTCCTATGTACAAAACAACTATTTTTTGGCCCAATTTAAAAATTATCAGGGGTATCCTCAAACTTTTGAACTGTGGTATATATATATATATATATATATATATATATATATATATATATATAGATATATATATATATATACAGCCTGGTTCACAATTCTACTCAGTCTTTTGAACAGGAGTAGAGGTTTATCCCTTGTTTCCTGTTTAGGATTGGGTTTCCGGTTCCTTCGAAAGGTCTTCTTCAATTCTATACTTTCATTCACTAATTAAATCTTGACCTCTTCAAGTGTCGAGTTCACCGTTATCTTTCCTGTATAACCCGCAAGAACTTCATTTCTTGCTTTTTCTGACACTTATACAACTCCACACAGTAACCCTCTACCTTAAGTGGCACTTGTATTGAGTGAACATTTGCAATCTCTCTCTCTCTCTCTCTATATATATATATATATATATATACATATAAATATATATATATATAAATATATAATATTAATATGGGCGCGAAACCCGGGTTCGAATCTCATCATGGTGGATTTAACAGGAAAGTGACTTCTTGATGTTATATTTCACACTCAGTAACCGCTACGTCTTAGTGGCTTTGTTGCCTTGTTTGGGGTGAAACGATTAAAAAAAATCAAAATGCAACTATCAACATAAAATAAATACTAGCAGATAATATCAAAATACTAAATCAGTCATTGCAAGGAAAGAGCAAAATATTCAACGCTATTATTATAGAAAAGAAACGGCTGGCATTAAGTTAATTTAAGTTAGTTATTTTAATGTGTGTATAAAATATATAATATGCGTATTAAGCAATAATTATAGGTATAAAATCAAATCTTGTCTGTCATACTGACAGCATTAATTTTTTATTATTTCGTTTTTTACGGTTTATCAACCTTTTGCAGGTTATTTAAAGCTAAAAATATTTTAGATTGTACGAAGCTTTTGAGATAATAATGCTTTAGTGATACAAGTCTTACTATAGCTGGGGGAGAAGAGTTGGATTCATGCCTTTCCCAATGGTAATTGAGTAGACGTTCCGTTTTTTTTTTTTCAACAGTGGTTTTTTTTTTTTCGTCTACCGGCCTGCGCTCTCGAGAAAACTTAATAAAGAAGATTTACTTCCGAACAGGTTTCGAACCTGTATCACCCATTAAGAAGACTTGTCAGGCGGTTCCTATATGTGGGTAACAAAGCTACGATCTCAAGTTCACAATTTCAGCGGCTGAATGAAATCAGCAGTTTCAGTCATTTTTATCTACGTGTAGAAAGTGTACTTCGCGCATAGTAATGATTTCAGTACATTAAACATTTTTCTGCAGCCGACATTAAATGTACTGAGTGTTGATAAAAAGAAAACAAAATAGACACATAAAACTGAGTATCAATAAATGTTATGAAAAAATCAGATTTTATTGCATGTCATATGATAAACATATCGGCAGGATAAATAGATTTTTATTGACTTTTACTGTAAAATGACAGATTTTTACTTACCACTGGAGATTTCTGATGTTAAAGGCTTTATAAAAAATATTAGGTTTGTATAAAATGTTCACTGTACCCGGATTTTTGGAGAATAAAGATTGTATATACAGTCAAAAAAATTTTTAAAATAAAAACACTGAAAAATTTAGCAGAAACCTAATTATTAATGATTAATTATTGTTCTGACTGAAAAAAAAATCCGCTTTTGTGTATTAAATTTTGGCAGAGAGAACTTGCGCAGCTTCCTCCTCACCGTCATCATACCATTAATAAACCAAAGTCAAGAAGCTTAGACAAGTTTCATTTTTGGCATCTCAATCTTAAAAATAATTCAGCGTAAGTTTCCTGAACCGAATGTCAATCTATCGCAAGAAGTCATCCTGGGTTTATGGCCATATCACGTTGAAACATCGGTTCCAGTAGGATCACTGAAATTAAGCATCGTCAAGCCTGGTCAGTACCTCGATGGGTGACCTCTTGGGAATACCAGGTGCTGTAAGCTTGGATGTGCGGGTGGTGTAATGGATAATAGCTCGGAATTGTTCATCGAAGAGTTGAGTTCTAATTCCAGCTGGGTTACTTTTTATTCACTTGCACGCATATACCTTTGGGAAAGGCATGAATGCAAGTCCTCCCTACAGATATGGGTTAATAAGTAAGACTTAAATCACTAAATCATTTTTATCTAAAAAAAAATTCAAAATACTTTCTGGCTTTAAATAACCTGCAAAGGGTTGATAAGCCGTAGAAAACGAATCAATCAATTTAAAAAAATCTTTTTACATTGTTCGGAATTTTCACGAGGTTTCGGCCGTTGTATGACGCTCTGGCCTACTTCAGGTGATTGGAATTTCGAACCGAACTCTTTATTTCGTCCACCGGGGTAGATTGTTCTTAAATTATTTTAAACATTTTAGATAAAATATATTCACTATTAAAATTTAAATAGCGGAGAAATCCTAAAATAGGATTATTTATGCTGGGGATGACATTGTCACTCCTCACCATTCTCTCTTGAAGTAGTATAGTATCTGTGTATCAATTTGCCACATTGATCCTGCTTATGATCATTAGAGGATCTGTGCACCCTGCCAACGATGTTAGTTTCACTTCTCTGCTTTCTGTCTAAGATCAGTATAGTATATGTGTTCCTTGACATGAATCAGTATTTTATATTCCCGTCCTCTGCTTAGGATCAGTGTAGTATCTGTGTACCTTGCAGAGGGTGACAATATCACTGTCCTAATTTCTGCTTAAGATCAGTATAGTATCTGTGTAGTCTACCAAGGACCAATGTCCTACATTCCTATGCTTAGTAACTGTGCACCATACTGAGGATAACAATGTCACTCTTCGGCCCTCGGTGTAGGATCAGTGCAGGATCTGTGAATTACGCCTACTGGGCTATTCAAGCAGCAGATTACAGGTGATTTGGCCTGTTTACCTCAAGTTCATACTTTCGAATCAGGGTTGTGCTGATTTGTTAATTTTATTTATCGGCGTGACAGAATTTACGGATAGAGGAATTAAAAAAAAAAACATAGAGAGAATGCACGCGGATTCATTATTATGGGTAACAATGAACCGTGTGTCTTTTTTTATGTTTCTTGATTATATTATCAATACTGTTTTATTTCTCATCAGAACACTGGGCCGCTTCATTCGTTTTAATTTTACGAGGTTTTCATTAATTTCTAATTGTTATCTTTTAACACAACACACTCTGTCGATGCGTTCATTATTAGTTTCACTCCATATTAATGTTGTTGCTTTTTATCATATGAGGTTGGGCTGAAAAGTTCATAGGCTGACGATGAAGGAAGTGTGAAATATAGTATACGTTAATTTAAACCCTTTTTATTAATAACTGCATTGTTTCTTTCCAGGTAAACTGACTTATTTTCTTTTTTTTTAATCATATCACCCCACGCAAGGCAGTAAAGCCATTAATATCCAAAGAGTTACTGAGTGTGGAAGAGCAAGAAAAATAGAAACATTAGCAAGTGAGAAGAATAGAAGAGTAATCAAGAGGACAACAGATAAAGATTGACATTGCATTTAATTTTTTGAAGATTAAAGTTGGCTGGAAAGCATGGAACGGGAAGAAAGTTCCACAAACGAAAAGTGCGAGAAAAGAAACTGTTAGCATAGGACTTACGGTTACATCTACCCAATTTAACTGTGAACTGATGAGACCTTGTTGCCAATCTAGTACTGCGCGTAAATTCATAGCGAAGAGTTTATCCGAATGGTTATCATGGAAGTATTTATAGAAAAAGCACAGGGAAGCTACATTATGGCGGTAGGAAATTGACTGAAGCCGAGATGCTAGGTCAGGACCAATAACAATGATTCTTCTTTGGATTTTATGAAGAATCTCTAAATATATAGTAGGAGCACTGGACCAGATGTCGAAGCATTTACGAATTAGGTTATAAATATACAAGATAGGTTCTGGAGAGAAAAATTGTCTAACACGACCTAGTGGACTGACATTTATTTAGCAGCAAACCTAGAAATATATTCAATATAATCTCTTTCATGGAAGTTTGCGTCAGCCATTATGATAGGCGACAGGATGGAGTCTTTCAGGTGATTAATAGAAAGAAGTTTCGTTTTGGAGGTGTTAAAATTAACAAGCCATTCCTTGCTCCAGGTAACAACAAACTGCAGGAGATTTTTTAGATCAACTGTCAATCTCACCTTGGAATCGAACTGATCAGACTTATAATCAGAACTCGCTGTTTAAAGAAGCCTGTTCATTCTGTTGGTCAAAAAAGTCATCAAGAGCAGATATGACGTCATCACGGCAATATTGGTTCCCAGCCCAGTATTTTTTCATACTGGAGAGAAGGTGATATTCAAATTAAAAGGATAGGGAAGGTAATCAACAGGGTTCAAATTCATAGTTACTCACTGCTGCGATTGAAACTAAGGACTTGTGTGCTGGAGCATTGTTTCATCGGTTTTTCTGGACGTTTGGTCTTGATAGCCTTTCGCACCTACCTCAGAAAGTTTGCATAGTATTCTCCATTGATGTTGTTGTCTTTTTGAAGATAATCAACAAACACAATGCCTTTTGCATCCCAAAAAACTGATGCCATCACCTTCTGTGTAGATGAAACAATCTTGGCCTTTTTACAAGCAGGTGAGGAGGGAGTGTTTCCACTGCATGGATTGTCTCTTTGTTTCTGGCTCAAAGTGATGAACCCAACACTCATCCTGGGTTAGGAAACGTTCAAGGAAACCAGCTGGATTTGCCTCAAACAATGTCAGATTTTCCTGTGATATAATCAGCCTGGTGCGCTTTTGATCAGTTGTCAGACGACATGGCACCCAACGACTAGAAACTTTCGTCATAACAAGTTCATTGTGCAGAATATTCTCAACTCTTTCACGAGATATGCTATTTGATTTATAGTCAATCGCCTGTCATCCATCACCATGTGGCAAACATGATCAATGTTTTCCTCAGTGGTGGCCGTTGCAGGACGTCCAGACCGTTGGTCATCTTCCAGTCTCTCTGTCATGTGTCCTTACCTATAACTACAGAATTAACTCTTCCTAACACTATGTATACTACGCCTCTCAAGAGAGCGAGTCGAATCCAGTCGAGCCGATAGTAGTTCACTCCAAACCAGACTGACAGTCATACTAACAGCTTCCACATCTTGTATTATTATTTCGTGTAACATACCTTCGTTATTTCTACTCTTGTGTTCGTGTTGTTCTTCCTTGGTCCTAACCTGGACCATAAAAGTGGCGACGAGGATATTGAAGAAACGAATTCTACGCGGAGGATATAAAAAAAAAGTCTTTTTGCTATCTGTCGTCCATAACAGAGGCGACGGAGATATAGAAAAAAAAACACAATTTCTACGCGAAGATAAAAAAAAAACTTTTTGGACACCACCCATAACAGTGGTAATGAAGACACGAATTTTACCTGTCAGCCAGAATAGAATCGAATTCTACGCAGGAAAATTTTTTCGTACCAAGATTCCAGAACAACAGGCGACAAAGACCTAAAGTCTACACTGAGAAAAAAAATGAAAAATCGTTACATAAGTACACAATTCTAGCTACAAAGTACATATTGCGAAAAGAAAAAGTAAGGGGAAAAAGTGAGTTTTTTTTCCTCCTCTTCTCGTGACAACAAATAGCCTGTGTTATTAAATTACGGTGTAAACATGGAAGACTTTAAGGCAACCATATTGGAACTAATCAAAATGCAATTCGAGCAGCAAAAAAAAAAAAAAAAAAAAATGAGAAAAGACAGACTCGGCTCGAAGAAAAACAATTAGAAATTCAACAGAAAAACGAAGAAAAGCAACTCGAACTACAAGAATTACTACTACGGGCAGTAACAAATAAAGGACAAAATTCAGAAAATGAATGGCATTCTCGCAAAATGCTATATGGAGCTCAATCAAAGACTTCACTTATGCACCGGACGAAGACAAAACTTTCGCGGCTTACGTCAGAGGATATGAAGATTCATATATGTTTGATTGTGGGAATTGGTCAGACGCGAAAAAAGTACGTCTACTACTGAGGAAACTAGGGTGAAGTGAATACACTAAATTCGTAGACTACATCCTACCGAGGGAAACGAATGAGTTGACTTTCAGGGAAGTCATGAAACTTTTAACGGAATTATTTAGTTCGAACACTTCACTATTCCACAAAAGGTGGAAATGTTTAAATTTAACAAAAAAGGATAGCGAAGACTATATAACATTCGCTTCCGTAGTAAACAAACACTGCGATGACTTTAAGTTATCTGAACTCAGCCCTGACAATTTTGAAAGTTTGATATTTGTCCAAGGCCTGGTATCGACTAAAGATGCGGAGATCAGACGGAGAATTCTAACAAAACTGGAGAGTGAATTAAAACTGACGCTACAAACATTGGCTGAGGACTGTCAGAGATGTATAAGCATAAAAAAGGACTCGAAAGATATCGAAGAGACTGCCATCGTTCACCTACAAAGAGTACAACGACAAACACGTTTTTCTCCCTCCTCAAAACCAAACCAAACCAATTATTTCACTACAAAAAGTCAAATGAAGAAATCACCACCCAGTCCATGCTATCGCTGTGGGACTTTATATTGGTACAAATATTGTCCATATCGCTATAAGACTTGTCTGTCGTGCAATAAAGTGGAACATAAAAGTTCGCACTGTAGAACAAAGAAAGAAAAAAGCCGAGTAAAAGTCACTAGAACTGACCAAGCGGAAGGGATAAATATACGAAAATACGTACAAGTAGAAATGTTAAACAAAAAAATCAGATTACAATTAGATTCCGGATCAGATTTAACCATTATTAAGTTACAGACATGGAAGAAATTAAACAAACTGACCATGTTGAGAAAAGATAAAATAGCCAGGTCGGTAAGAGGAAGAAAAATCAAATTTGAGGGGGGGATTATCACAAACGTGACGTTCAACGGGATGACCAAGAAATTAAAGATGTATGTTCTAAAAAATACGG